GACCCAGGGACCACCGAGGACTCTGTCACTGCAGACTTAGGGACCACTGAGAACTACGTCACTGCAGGCTGTTGGACCACAGAAGATGAAACCATTAAACATGGTGACACTCACCTTCTGTGAACTACTTGAGTCACGGCAGTGAAACCCACCAGGCTCCTGACACCCGTGGGAATTATCCCATATCCCTGGCTGCAGCCACAGTCATGTTGCACTCTGTGTTGCACTGGGCTTCATTGTGGTGAGTATCTAGTCTGGGAATATTCAGGGCATCATGGGAACGAGGCCATGTGAGGGTTAGGGGTGGGCATGGAGAGCTGAGGTACAGGGGTCCAAGAAGTTGTCAGGCGTGAGAAAGCGTACATTGAGAGAGCTCTGCAAAGACTCCCAGAAAGACAGAGATGGAGAGAAAGGAAAAGAGCACCTGGCACAAAAGATGCAGAAAGCACTGGGGAGAGAGAAAGCTGTGAGACACAGAGGGAGGAGAGAGAAAAGAGAGGCTGAGTGTAAGAAAGCAGACAGAGAAACATAAAAACACAAATGTGGCAAGTCACAGTGGGAGTCAGAGCAAAGCATGAACTATTAGGTATAGATGAATATAAAAAAGAAATTTTTCATAAGAAGACAAGGAACTGGGCACCAGAGGAGTGGATGAATTAGAAGCTTTCTGGGGGGTCCACTCAGATCAGAAATTACATATTCTTGTGTTAATTACTACCCACTCTGGAGTTCTGCAGAAGATTTTTTTCAACCAAAATTGGGTGGATTTTTATAAGCACCACCACTCTATACTGGAGAGAGAGACAGTTTGTACCAGCTCCAAGAGGAGCTCTGAGTATTTTTCTGTCTCTGAGGGTCCCTGTTATTTCTACAAGAGGAGGCAACAGAATTCCCTGCCAACCCTGTGTGTTTCATCCCGCCAAACTCGTGGGTGGAATCATCCCAAAAGCAGCAGCAGGGGAATTCCCACAGGGAGTGACCCAAACCCTCCAGAGATGGGGCCAATTGGGATTCCAAAGAAAGAAGCCCAGATGTCAGGGTGATCAGTTCGAAGCTTTTGTTATGGGAACTGCAGCAATCCTCCTCGCCGACAGTGAGGGGAAAGGGATGTTCTGTCTAGGTATGTCTGTAGCAAGGGGGTCAGGGTATGGAGTTTATATGAGGGTTTAGGGAATTTGACTCAGGCCTGAGCCAGTTTCTTTCAATGTCTTGGGCAACAACCAAGATACCTTTATTAGTGCCTGGGAGTGTGCAAGGCCCTGGTTTGAGTTCAAGCCTGCTGGAGGAAACCTGCCGCTGGCCGGGGCACAGAATGGTCAAGGCGATCTGTGATTTTCGGTCAGGACTCAGAAAGAAAAGGAGGTGATTGGGGGAACCCCACATTGTGGCTGCCTCTCGCTGACACTTGATCTAAAACCCAAGCCTTCCGCTTCTGGCCTGCTGTTGACGGGGAAGGGCTGGTCGTTTTGGCCATCCTGACCTAAGGATTAAGTGCATGTCGAAATTTTAACAAGTGGCAGCTTGCAGGATTAGCCAACTTGGGCAGGTCATGAAAGCCTCGTTAATTCTTGCCGGTCACTGATACCACTGTGCACTGACCCCTGCCCCAAGAGGCAGATCCACAGCTCTGGATCACATCGTAAGTGTGAGTAAAGCCGAAAGTAATGCATGATACAGTTGAGGTGTTCACAATTAATTCTGCTAAAATGACACCATGAAACTAGAGCATTCTGAAGGATGCTGACCAGAGGAAAATGGAATGAAAGCACCTATAGGTACCTGACTCATGCGTGAGTCATATTCAGTATTCACCAGTAGAGGGAGGACCTTCTGGACTTCGCTGTTGTGATAAACAATTGGATTTCTGATCATGTGGATCACCAGGAAAAGTCAGACGCTCTTGTTCTAGACTGAAGGATGCTTTCCTTCCTCCAAACCAGGCGTTGGCCCAGAGAAGTCACTAGTGTTAGCACCTTCTTAATCTTGTGTAGAGACTAAAAACAAGAGATGGCTCTGCTGGGCGCAGTGGCTCACGCCTGTAATCCCAGCACTTTGGGAGGCTGAAGTGGGCAGATCACGAGGTCAGGAGTTTGAAACCAGTCTGGTCAACATGGTGAAACCCTGTCTCTACTAAAAATACAAAACTTAGCCAGGAATGGTGACACACACCTGTAATCCTAGCTACTCAGAAAGCTGAGGCAGGAGAAT